TATTTTTCTAGTTCTAGTTTTCTAGTTCTATTCTATTTGTATACTATTTGTATGAGTATGACATCATTGTCTAAGATTCTGAATAAGTTTAATAAGCTCTTTAATTACAATACTCATCTGGTTTTCGTGATTCATGATGAGCTGCTTGGACTTTGATTACTAGCTGTTATTAACTGTTATGAGCTATTCTTAGATGGTTACTATCTGCTTGGTAGATGTCTATTAGTTGCTTACTAGTTTATATTAGCTGGTTACTATATGTTTAGTAGATGTATACAAGATGTTTAGTATCTGGGTTTCTATATGTTTAGTAGATGTATACAAGTTGTTTACCAGATGTATCCAAGTTGCTTACTAGCTATTTAGTATCTGGTTTCTATATGTTTAGTAGATGTATACAAGTTGTTTACTAGCTGTTTAGTATCTGGTTTCTATATGTTTAGTATCTGTTTACTTGATGTTTACTTATTATTATTAGCTGGTTACAAGTTGTTATTAACGTCTACGAGCTTTGTAGTCTTTTGTTAAGAACGATCAAAATTCCTGATCACTAGACGACTTTGATGTGAAGTAAAAACTTACACTCTGATTTTCAATGTGTTTGCTATGTACGTGAGAAAGAACGCAAAGCCAAAATATCCCAAGATTTATATATAAAACTTAGAGGAACATATCCGATTATGTTGGGGAAGATGTATCCTGTGATTGTAAACTAATTAAGAAATAAATTGTTCACAAGCTGTCTAAAAGCTGTTTAGAAGCTGTTTTGATAAACAATTTTGATTCATAATGACAGATACTAAGAATATATATTAATATCATCCACTTTAAACTAGTATATTGTTAAAATAAACATTTCCATTTTTAATGTTCTTTCATCTTATGTAGGTATAATAAATTAAATCTTAACTACGATAGCTAGCCTTACATCCCATAACTATAGTTATTGCTACAATAAATGTCTAGAAAGAACAAAATATATGAATGTCAAAAACGATTTAAAACTAACTTAATTGTGAAAGTAATTGAAATCGCTCCGACGTAATACAGTAAAAAACAAAAACACTTGATTATCCCATTTCTATCACCATAACAATGTGTATACCCACACCTAAATGACCAATTGTATCCTTTCTCCAAAAATGTCACCGATAATTTAAATCCCATTAAGCAAACCACCCATTGCTAACCGTACCATAACCCCAGAGTCAAGTTGGTTACCTACAATAAACACCGATGGTGGTGTAAAGGATTGCTAAAATGCCCCGACGCAGGCGCAAAGGTCATAAAAAAAAGGTCATAAAATATATAATTAGGAAGTATTTTTTATTTGCGAACAATTTATAACTGTTACCAACAACACTAATACTTGTTCCAAAGGATTTGCTTAATGCCTCGACGCAGGCGCAAAGGTCAAGGTATTGGAAAAAATTCATGGAATATTATCCCTTCATAAAAGAGGTCATAAAATATTAATTAGGAAAGTATTTTTTATTTGCGAACAATTTATAACTGTTACCAACAACACAAATAGTTGTTACAAGGATTGCTAAAATGCCTTGATGCAGGGCAAAGGTCAAGGTAATGGAAAAATTCATGGAATATTATCCCTTGACCAAATACGAAATTTCTTCTATTTGGATAATAAAAAAATATATTAATTCAATGCTTTGATTTTTCCATCAAAATGCTTGATAAATCTAGTTGTATGATATTCTCTAAGTAACTAACTCTCTAACTATTCTCAACTAACTAATGAAGTAATAAGTTTTCATGTGGTCTATTTAATTTACCAAAACAGTATTAGTCTTCTCTCATAAAATTGATCTTTTGGATCCCTCTTATTCCCCACGGTGAAATGTATGTTCCTCATATTTAATAATGATGGTTTGTCAACCCCGACCAACCTCCGCAACATAGATGGATACTTGTAATTCATATTTAAGATATTTCCATCCTTCTTAACTAACATCCTTTATCCATCATGTAAACAGGTTTAGAATTGTATTGCATGCTTCAACCCCTAGCCACAACCACCACTGTAACAGATTTCACTTTTCCAATGGCTGCCCCAGCTACCTAAACTGTACATTTCTTTGATTTTCTCTTTTTCTTTCTAAGCATGTACACAATTTGTAAACTGGTTCTGACCTCCCTCTTTTATGGCATCCTCTACTTTATTTTCGTTATATTTCTGATCTTTTCCTAACAGTAGGTTGTTAAACTTTTATAATTTTATGGGATTATTGAGCACCCGAAATCCCAGATAATAACTCATAACATGTAACTAGCAGAATAGTCAAAGATATCAGACTCTAAAAAGACAAATTTACCTACTATTCAATTTACCATCTACATCCCTGGAGAAGAGTTTAGTATTTGCAGTTTAATTTTCTAATCTATTGATTTCACAGATTCCCGCTGGTAAATACCAATTTTTAACAAATGGCTGCCAACTCCATACCATTCAGACACTGGTTTACAACCTCATAGAACTGACTCTCAAGTATCTGTAATGCACAATATATTTCCGTCTCTCTTCTTCTAATCAATATTAAAAAATTTCAAAACTGGTTTTGGGGTTCATTTTATTCTTAGAATTAAATTATTAAAAATTATTAAGCCAACAGAGATAATAATGTTTTTGTGATAATATCCCATGAATATACATAATTCTTCTTTGTATATTTTCAAATTATTTATTTCAGAAAATTATTCATAATCGCATTCAATAATATTCATAATATATCTTACAATTTTTTAGATTTATCAATAGAGTTTCCCAATTATTAATATTACATGATATTGCATCATATCTATTTTTAAGATTAAATATTAAGATAGGGTCGTCCTCGCGAGACATAGCGCTGACCAACTCACATTGGTCTGCCTCACCATTAAGTTTAAGACATTCTAAGTCTGATATTGAATCCCTTATACGAAAAATCATCTCCTTAACTTCCAGTAGCAGTCGTGACAGCGGATTATTTTCGATTTCCGCATCGTGAAGATCAATTTGGTGTTGTAATTTGGTTGTCTCCATCATAAGCTCGGTGATTCGATTTTCCACGTTTTCAATATCAAAGAGATGGGAATCGATATTGTTTTCGCTCTGCAAATCCACCAAGCGCCATTTCAGGATTTCCAACTCTTCTATAGTATCGTAATAGATACTACCGAATTCCCGTCGCAACTCCTTGGAAACCTTTAAAATTTCCTTAAAGATTTTTATTTCAATCAACAAATCTTCATTTATTTTAAAGTCAGAGTGGTTGATTTGGCTGTTGATTTCAGTCATCTTTTGTCTTTCGATTTAAATTTTGTACTGTTTTAGGTTTTGTAAACTCATCAACCAGGAAAAGTCAGAACGTAGAACCACATTTCTCCTTAACACATACATTTTTTGAAAACTTAAAAGGAAACCGTTTTCTCTTTCTATAAGCGCGTGAAAAAAATTTCAAATATGATTAAATAAAAACGTATTTGACTAAATAAACGATCTCATTTGTTTTTATGTATATTCTGTTAGGAACCACAACCACCACCACCATTTTGACCACAAGACCGTAGACAGGTTACACTAATAGATTTCATCTAAAACCCTAATTGAAACAAAAAAAAAAACGCCCACGCATAACAAAACAACGTTTTTGTGTATATTCTGTTAGGAACCACCAACACCCCTCTTACACTCCTACGCTCACTTTCCCATCTAATGCTCGCTAAAGAGGGGGAGGTTATCGAACTCACGCTTGTTTCACACCACAAAAGTATGCGGTCTAATATCCCTCAAACCAACACCTTTTGACCACAAGACCGTAGACAGATGTCACCTACAACCCTAATTGAATCAACAAAACGCCCACGCATAACAAAACAACTTCCCTTCCTCCTCCTCCTCCGCCTAAATATAGTTTTACAAATTCATACGCATGACAAAACACCCCTTGTAAAACGAATAGTTTTCTAAAACTGAACTACTATCCACATTTTCCTTAACACATACATTTTTGAAAACTTAGAAGGTAACCGTTTTCTCTTTCTAAACGCTGAGAAAAAATTTTCAAATTTGATTAAAGAAAAACGTATTTGACTAAAAAAACGATCTCATTTGTTTTGTTTGTTAGGAACCACCACCACCACATCACCATTTTACCACAAGACCGTAGCAGGTTACACTAACAGTGTCACTACAACCCTAATTGAATCTACCTATTAAAACTATCCTAATTGAATCAACAAAACGCCACGCATAAAAAACAACGTTTTTGTTAGAAACCACCAACACCCCTCTTACACTCCTACGCTCACTTTCCCATCTAATGCTCGCTAAAGAGGGAGGTTACCGAACTCACGCTTGTTTCACACCACAAAAGTATGCGGTCTAATATCCCTCAAACCAACACCTTTTGACCACAAGACCGTAGCCAGGTGTCACTACAACCCTAATTGATCAACAAAACGCCCACGCATAACGTTCTAACCCAAGTTAGAAGCAACATAGTGACCTGTGTGCAACCATTGCACTCCACAAAATCCTACGCATGACAAACACCCCTATCACACACGCAAGCCAGGTGTCACCTACAACCCTAATTGACTCAACAAAACGCCCACGCATAACGCTTCTAACCCAAGTTAGAAGCAACATAGTGACTTGTGTGCAACCATTGCACTCCACAAAATCCCACGCATGACAAAACACCCCTATCACACACGCACCTTTAGCGTGAGAAAAAGACAAGACAAAACAAGACATATCAAAACACCACTCTCTCACACTCCTACACACCACTTTCTAACCTCATTAAGTGACCTGTGTGCAACCATGCTCATCTAACTAGGGTCAGCAACACCCCCCTTTTTGACTTAATTATGCTAATTAGGTCATTAGAACACCTGTGTGCAACCATGCGTTACTAATTAGGGTCACCCCCACCTCCTTTTTTGACATGATTTATTACCTAGTGAGCCAGCTCCCGTATTAACTACTAACTAATATGCGCTCCATCCTGATTGATTGGCTGGTGGAGGTTTCCGAGGAGTGCAAGCTGGACACGGAGACGCTCTACCTCTCCGTCTTCTACCTGGATCGCTTCTTAAGCTTAATGGCGGTGGTGCGCTCCAAGTTGCAGCTGGTGGGCACAGCAGCCATGTACATTGCCGCTAAATACGAGGAGATCTATCCCCCAGAGGTGGGTGAGTTCGTCTTCCTCACCGACGACAGCTACACCAAGGCTCAGGTGCTGCGCATGTAGCAGGTCATTCTGAAGATCCTCTCCTTCGATTTGTGCACCCCGACTGCTTATGTCTTTATCAACACGTACGCGGTGCTGTGCGACATGCCAGAGAGGCTAAAGTTTCTGACGCTGTACATATCTGAGCTGTCGCTGATGGAGGGAGAAACGTACTTGCAATATTTGCCCTCAGTAATGTCGTCCGCTTCGCTCGCTTTGGCCCGTCATATTCTGGGCATGGAGATGTGGACGCCGCAGCTGGAGGAGATCACCACCTACAAGCTGGAGGACCTGAAAACCGTGGTCTTGCAGCTGCGCCACACCCACAAAACGGCAAAGGAGCTCAACACGCAGGCCATGCGGGAAAAGTACAATAGAGACACGTACAAGAAGGTAGCCATGATCGATTCAGTTGAGTTGAGCAAGGAGGACATTGATCAGCTCTGCCAGGCCTACAACGCCAAGCAGCAAAACGAGAATCAGCAGCAGCCAGAGAACAACTCTAAATCGAACGTGAATTTGTTTTATAAGTTTTAAGTGTTTTGAGCCTCTGCCATGGTCAAATTGTATTTTTTTAGTGTTTCCATGTAACATTTTGTAGTTTTAGAATTTTAAGTGTACAAAATATGGAAGAATCGCAGTTCGGTGCCATAAAGCTGGGGTACAAACATGCTGAACTGGCTGGCCGATTGGCAAGCTCCCGTAACACGTCCTGGACAATTTTATTCGCGCGCCATATAGAAGATTAGTTGCCAGCAAGTATGCACCATTTCCAACATCCAACATTCACGTCTGCCCACGGTGAGAGCTTGCCACGCCAAGCGTGAGCAGTAGGAACTGCGGCAGTCTAAAAAAAACTGACCGACGACCACCAACAACGAGCTGAACGAACAAGAGGATCCCGCCCCGGACACCGAACCTATTTTTGTGCTGCTCAGGCTACCGATATTTTATATTTTACGTTACCAGCCACAATCCCTGTTCTCTCTGTATTTTTATGTATTTATAAACTGAATCACATGGATGTATACAATGTGTCTTTAGCAGGAACAGCTAGCTCCGAGAATTATTTAACCTAAACATATTTATATACTAACTATTAGTCCATGAATGTTCTGTGAACCACGAAACAAATACATACGTCAATTAAACCTCTTTAATATTTTCCTCATTATCATAATATTTTAACTTTTCTGTTTTCCCTTTATATTCCAATACTCCCTTTTCTATATTTATTATAGCTCCAATATTTCTTAATAAATTAAATCCAGTTAGCATATCAGATTCTAATCTTCGATTTCATAAAATAGTTGTCTTGTTTCAAATATATTTATAATATGGTAATACCTAATAATTGAATACCCATGAACTGTAGTTACCTTTTTGTATATTGATAACTCATTATACCCGTTACTCGTAGAGTAAAAGGGTATACTA